CTTTTGCGCCCATATGTTGCCTGGAGCCCATTTCTGAGGTTCCTGAAAGCCTGTGTCCCCCATGCCTTTCCCTCCATGCATGTGTGTGTCTCGCCGCATGCAGACAGCAGCACCAGCGCCTATTATATCGCCATGTACGGCACAACCGACCCAGAGCAGCCCATTCAAATGCTTTAGAGTCGTCTCATAACCCTCATGTGCCCCCACTTTCTTTCCATGTATGTGTGTTTCTCGCTGCATGCAGACAGCAGCACCAGCTCCTATTTGATCGCCCTGTAATGTATGACACAACCGATCTAGGGCAGCCCATTCAGGTGCTCTTGAGTTGACTCAAACGTCTCATGCACCCCCAATGCTTTCCACGCCTGTGTGTCTTCCCCCAATGCAGACAGCAGTGCCAGCTCCTATTCGATCGCTCTGTACGACACCACCAACCCAGAGCAGCAATTTTAAGTGCTCGGTCAGAGCTCAAGTTTGGGGGGCGTCTAAGGGAGTACCATTTTCCGAGGCATCTAAAACATATGTTTTCCCATGCCTTCCATGCATTTGTGTGTCTTCCCCTAATGCAGACAGCAACGCCGATTCCTATTCGATCGCGCTGTACGACACCACCGACCCGGCGCAGCCCATTCAGGTGCTCGGCCCGGATCCGGTCAAGCTCCTGAGGCTCCTCTATATCTGTGTCCTTCCCCCATGCCCTCCATGCATGCATGTGCGTGTGTGTGATGCACGCAGACAGCAGCGCCAGCTCCTATTCTATCGCCCTGTACGACACCACCGACCCGAAGCAGCCCATTCAGGTGCTCGGCCCGGATCCAGTCAAGATGGAGAGCGGCACCCTCTTCCCTTACGTGCTGCCGGGCCCTGTCGTGCCTTACCCCAAGCACATTGAGTCGTTTCCTGACGACCTGCTGGACCGCAAATACGAGGCACACTGCAGGTGAGACGAGGAAGAGGTGAGGAAGGAGAGTGGCACCCTATACCTCTATTTGCTGCCGGGCCCTGTGGTGCCTTACCCCAAGCACATTGAGCCGTTTCCTGAGGACTTGCTCGGCCGCAAATACGAGGCGCACTGCAGGTGAGGCGAGGAGGCAGTATGGGTAAATAAGCCTGCAGGTGAGGCGAGGAGGCAGTATGGGTAAATAAGCCTGCAGGTGAGGCGAGGAGGCAGTATGGGTAAATAAGCCTGCAGGTGAGGCGAGGAGGCAGTATGGGTAAATAAGCCTGCAGGTGAGGCGAGGAGGCAGTATGGGTAAATAAGCCTGCAGGTGAGGCGAGGAGGCAGTATGGGTAAATAAGCCTGCAGGTGAGGCGAGGAGGCAGTATGGGTAAATAAGCCTGCAGGTGAGGCGAGGAGGCAGTATGGGTAAATAAGCCTGCAGGTGAGGCGAGGAGGCAGTATGGGTAAATAAGCCTGCAGGTGAGGCGAGGAGGCAGTATGGGTAAATAAGCCTGCAGGTGAGGCGAGGAGGCAGTATGGGTAAATAAGCCTGCAGGTGAGGCGAGGAGGCAATATGGGTAAATAAGCCTGCAGGTGAGGCGAGGAGGCAGTATGGGTAAATAAGCCTGCAGGTGAGGCGAGGAGGCAGTATGGGTAAATAAGCCTGCAGGTGAGGCGAGGAGGCAGTATGGGTAAATAAGCCTGCAGGTGAGGCGAGGAGGCAGTATGGGTAAATAAGCCTGCAGGTGAGGCGAGGAGGCAGTATGGGTAAATAAGCCTGCAGGTGAGGCGAGGAGGCAGTATGGGTAAATAAGCCTGCAGGTGAGGCGAGGAGGCAGTATGGGTAAATAAGCCTGCAGGTGAGGCAAGGAGGCAGTATGGGTAAATAAGGCTGCAGGTGAGGCGAGGAGGCAGTATGGGTAAATAAGCCTGCAGGTGAGGCGAGGAGGCAGTATGGGTAAATAAGCCTGCAGGTGAGGCGAGGAGGCAGTATGGGTAAATAAGCCTGCAGGTGAGGCAAGGAGGCAGTATGGGTAAATAAGCCTGCAGGTGAGGCGAGGAGGCAGTATGGGTAAATAAGCCTGCAGGTGAGGCGAGGAGGCAGTATGGGTAAATAAGCCTGCAGGTGAGGCGAGGAGGCAGTATGGGTAAATAAGCCTGCAGGTGAGGCGAGGAGGCAGCATGGGTAAATAAGCCTGCAGGTGAGGCGAGGAGGCAGTATGGGTAAATAAGCCTGCAGGTGAGGCGAGGAGGCAGTATGGGTAAATAAGCCTGCAGGTGAGGCGAGGAGGCAGTATGGGTAAATAAGCCTGCAGGTGAGGCGAGGAGGCAGCATGGGTAAATAAGCCTGCAGGTGAGGCGAGGAGGCAGTATGGGTAAATAAGCCTGCAGGTGAGGCGAGGAGGCAGTATGGGTAAATAAGCCTGCAGGTGAGGCGAGGAGGCAGTATGGGTAAATAAGCCTGCAGGTGAGGCGAGGAGGCAGCATGGGTAAATAAGCCTGCAGGTGAGGCGAGGAGGCAGTATGGGTAAATAAGCCTGCAGGTGAGGCGAGGAGGCAGTATGGGTAAATAAGCCTGCAGGTGAGGCGAGGAGGCAGTATGGGTAAATAAGCCTGCAGGTGAGGCGAGGAGGCAGTATGGGTAAATAAGCCTGCAGGTGAGGCGAGGAGGCAGTATGGGTAAATAAGCCTGCAGGTGAGGCGAGGAGGCAGTATGGGTAAATAAGCCTGCAGGTGAGGCGAGGAGGCAGTATGGGTAAATAAGCCTGCAGGTGAGGCGAGGAGGCAGTATGGGTAAATAAGCCTGCAGGTGAGGCGAGGAGGCAGTATGGGTAAATAAGCCTGCAGGTGAGGCGAGGAGGCAGTATGGGTAAATAAGCCTGCAGGTGAGGCGAGGAGGCAGTATGGGTAAATAAGCCTGCAGGTGAGGCGAGGAGGCAGTATGGGTAAATAAGCCTGCAGGTGAGGCGAGGAGGCAGTATGAGTAAATAAGCCTGCAGGTGAGGCGAGGAGGCAGTATGGGTAAATAAGCCTGCAGGTGAGGCGAGGAGGCAGTATGGGTAAATAAGCCTGCAGGTGAGGCGAGGAGGCAGTATGGGTAAATAAGCCTGCAGGTGAGGCGAGGAGGCAGTATGGGTAAATAAGCCTGCAGGTGAGGCGAGGAGGCAGTATGGGTAAATAAGCCTGCAGGTGAGGCGAGGAGGCAGTATGGGTAAATAAGCCTGCAGGTGAGGCGAGGAGGCAGTATGGGTAAATAAGCCTGCAGGTGAGGCGAGGAGGCAGTATGGGTAAATAAGCCTGCAGGTGAGGCGAGGAGGCAGTATGGGTAAATAAGCCTGCAGGTGAGGCGAGGAGGCAGTATGGGTAAATAAGCCTGCAGGTGAGGCGAGGAGGCAGTATGGGTAAATAAGCCTGCAGGTGAGGCGAGGAGGCAGTATGGGTAAATAAGCCTGCAGGTGAGGCGAGGAGGCAGTATGGGTAAATAAGCCTGCAGGTGAGGCGAGGAGGCAGTATGGGTAAATAAGCCTGCAGGTGAGGCGAGGAGGCAGTATGGGTAAATAAGCCTGCAGGTGAGGCGAGGAGGCAGTATGGGTAAATAAGCCTGCAGGTGAGGCGAGGAGGCAGTATGGGTAAATAAGCCTGCAGGTGAGGCGAGGAGGCAGTATGGGTAAATAAGCCTGCAGGTGAGGCGAGGAGGCAGTATGGGTAAATAAGCCTGCAGGTGAGGCGAGGAGGCAGTATGGGTAAATAAGCCTGCAGGTGAGGCGAGGAGGCAGTATGGGTAAATAAGCCTGCAGGTGAGGCGAGGAGGCAGTATGGGTAAATAAGCCTGCAGGTGAGGCGAGGAGGCAGTATGGGTAAATAAGCCTGCAGGTGAGGCGAGGAGGCAGTATGGGTAAATAAGCCTGCAGGTGAGGCGAGGAGGCAGTATGGGTAAATAAGCCTGCAGGTGAGGCGAGGAGGCAGTATGGGTAAATAAGCCTGCAGGTGAGGCGAGGAGGCAGTATGGGTAAATAAGCCTGCAGGTGAGGCGAGGAGGCAGTATGGGTAAATAAGCCTGCAGGTGAGGCGAGGAGGCAGTATGGGTAAATAAGCCTGCAGGTGAGGCGAGGAGGCAGTATGGGTAAATAAGCCTGCAGGTGAGGCGAGGAGGCAGTATGGGTAAATAAGCCTGCAGGTGAGGCGAGGAGGCAGTATGGGTAAATAAGCCTGCAGGTGAGGCGAGGAGGCAGTATGGGTAAATAAGCCTGCAGGTGAGGCGAGGAGGCAGTATGGGTAAATAAGCCTGCAGGTGAGGCGAGGAGGCAGTATGGGTAAATAAGCCTGCAGGTGAGGCGAGGAGGCAGTATGGGTAAATAAGCCTGCAGGTGAGGCGAGGAGGCAGTATGGGTAAATAAGCCTGCAGGTGAGGCGAGGAGGCAGTATGGGTAAATAAGCCTGCAGGTGAGGCGAGGAGGCAGTATGGGTAAATAAGCCTGCAGGTGAGGCGAGGAGGCAGTATGGGTAAATAAGCCTGCAGGTGAGGCGAGGAGGCAGTATGGGTAAATAAGCCTGCAGGTGAGGCGAGGAGGCAGTATGGGTAAATAAGCCTGCAGGTGAGGCGAGGAGGCAGTATGGGTAAATAAGCCTGCAGGTGAGGCGAGGAGGCAGTATGGGTAAATAAGCCTGCAGGTGAGGCGAGGAGGCAGTATGGGTAAATAAGCCTGCAGGTGAGGCGAGGAGGCAGTATGGGTAAATAAGCCTGCAGGTGAGGCGAGGAGGCAGTATGGGTAAATAAGCCTGCAGGTGAGGCGAGGAGGCAGTATGGGTAAATAAGCCTGCAGGTGAGGCGAGGAGGCAGTATGGGTAAATAAGCCTGCAGGTGAGGCGAGGAGGCAGTATGGGTAAATAAGCCTGCAGGTGAGGCGAGGAGGCAGTATGGGTAAATAAGCCTGCAGGTGAGGCGAGGAGGCAGTATGGGTAAATAAGCCTGCAGGTGAGGCGAGGAGGCAGTATGGGTAAATAAGCCTGCAGGTGAGGCGAGGAGGCAGTATGGGTAAATACGCCTGCAGGTGAGGCGAGGAGGCAGTATGGGTAAATAAGCCTGCAGGTGAGGCGAGGAGGCAGTATGGGTAAATAAGCCTGCAGGTGAGGCGAGGAGGCAGTATGGGTAAATAAGCCTGCAGGTGAGGCGAGGAGGCAGTATGGGTAAATAAGCCTGCAGGTGAGGCGAGGAGGCAGTATGGGTAAATAAGCCTGCAGGTGAGGCGAGGAGGCAGTATGGGTAAATAAGCCTGCAGGTGAGGCGAGGAGGCAGTATGGGTAAATAAGCCTGCAGGTGAGGCGAGGAGGCAGTATGGGTAAATAAGCCTGCAGGTGAGGCGAGGAGGCAGTATGGGTAAATAAGCCTGCAGGTGAGGCGAGGAGGCAGTATGGGTAAATAAGCCTGCAGGTGAGGCGAGGAGGCAGTATGGGTAAATAAGCCTGCAGGTGAGGCGAGGAGGCAGTATGGGTAAATAAGCCTGCAGGTGAGGCGAGGAGGCAGTATGGGTAAATAAGCCTGCAGGTGAGGCGAGGAGGCAGTATGGGTAAATAAGCCTGCAGGTGAGGCGAGGAGGCAGTATGGGTAAATAAGCCTGCAGGTGAGGCGAGGAGGCAGTATGGGTAAATAAGCCTGCAGGTGAGGCGAGGAGGCAGTATGGGTAAATAAGCCTGCAGGTGAGGCGAGGAGGCAGTATGGGTAAATAAGCCTGCAGGTGAGGCGAGGAGGCAGTATGGGTAAATAAGCCTGCAGGTGAGGCGAGGAGGCAGTATGGGTAAATAAGCCTGCAGGTGAGGCGAGGAGGCAGTATGGGTAAATAAGCCTGCAGGTGAGGCGAGGAGGCAGTATGGGTAAATAAGCCTGCAGGTGAGGCGAGGAGGCAGTATGGGTAAATAAGCCTGCAGGTGAGGCGAGGAGGCAGTATGGGTAAATAAGCCTGCAGGTGAGGCGAGGAGGCAGTATGGGTAAATAAGCCTGCAGGTGAGGCGAGGAGGCAGTATGGGTAAATAAGCCTGCAGGTGAGGCGAGGAGGCAGTATGGGTAAATAAGCCTGCAGGTGAGGCGAGGAGGCAGTATGGGTAAATAAGCCTGCAGGTGAGGCGAGGAGGCAGTATGGGTAAATAAGCCTGCAGGTGAGGCGAGGAGGCAGTATGGGTAAATAAGCCTGCAGGTGAGGCGAGGAGGCAGTATGGGTAAATAAGCCTGCAGGTGAGGCGAGGAGGCAGTATGGGTAAATAAGCCTGCAGGTGAGGCGAGGAGGCAGTATGGGTAAATAAGCCTGCAGGTGAGGCGAGGAGGCAGTATGGGTAAATAAGCCTGCAGGTGAGGCGAGGAGGCAGTATGGGTAAATAAGCCTGCAGGTGAGGCGAGGAGGCAGTATGGGTAAATAAGCCTGCAGGTGAGGCGAGGAGGCAGTATGGGTAAATAAGCCTGCAGGTGAGGCGAGGAGGCAGTATGGGTAAATAAGCCTGCAGGTGAGGCGAGGAGGCAGTATGGGTAAATAAGCCTGCAGGTGAGGCGAGGAGGCAGTATGGGTAAATAAGCCTGCAGGTGAGGCGAGGAGGCAGTATGGGTAAATAAGCCTGCAGGTGAGGCGAGGAGGCAGTATGGGTAAATAAGCCTGCAGGTGAGGCGAGGAGGCAGTATGGGTAAATAAGCCTGCAGGTGAGGCGAGGAGGCAGTATGGGTAAATAAGCCTGCAGGTGAGGCGAGGAGGCAACATGGGTAAATAAGCCTGCAGGTGAGGCGAGGAGGCAGTATGGGTAAATAAGCCTGCAGGTGAGGCGAGGAGGCAGTATGGGTAAATAAGCCTGCAGGTGAGGCGAGGAGGCAGTATGGGTAAATAAGCCTGCAGGTGAGGCGAGGAGGCAGTATGGGTAAATAAGCCTGCAGGTGAGGCGAGGAGGCAGTATGGGTAAATAAGCCTGCAGGTGAGGCGAGGAGGCAGTATGGGTAAATAAGCCTGCAGGTGAGGCGAGGAGGCAGTATGGGTAAATAAGCCTGCAGGTGAGGCGAGGAGGCAGTATGGGTAAATAAGCCTGCAGGTGAGGCGAGGAGGCAGTATGGGTAAATAAGCCTGCAGGTGAGGCGAGGAGGCAGTATGGGTAAATAAGCCTGCAGGTGAGGCGAGGAGGCAGTATGGGTAAATAAGCCTGCAGGTGAGGCGAGGAGGCAGTATGGGTAAATAAGCCTGCAGGTGAGGCGAGGAGGCAGTATGGGTAAATAAGCCTGCAGGTGAGGCGAGGAGGCAGTATGGGTAAATAAGCCTGCAGGTGAGGCGAGGAGGCAGTATGGGTAAATAAGCCTGCAGGTGAGGCGAGGAGGCAGTATGGGTAAATAAGCCTGCAGGTGAGGCGAGGAGGCAGTATGGGTAAATAAGCCTGCAGGTGAGGCGAGGAGGCAGTATGGGTAAATAAGCCTGCAGGTAAGGCGAGGAGGCAGTATGGGTAAATAAGCCTGCAGGTGAGGCGAGGAGGCAGTATGGGTAAATAAGCCTGCAGGTGAGGCGAGGAGGCAGTATGGGTAAATAAGCCTGCAGGTGAGGCGAGGAGGCAGTATGGGTAAATAAGCCTGCAGGTGAGGCGAGGAGGCAGTATGGGTAAATAAGCCTGCAGGTGAGGCGAGGAGGCAGTATGGGTAAATAAGCCTGCAGGTGAGGCGAGGAGGCAATATGGGTAAATAAGCCTGCAGGTGAGGCGAGGAGGCAGTATGGGTAAATAAGCCTGCAGGTGAGGCGAGGAGGCAGTATGGGTAAATAAGCCTGCAGGTGAGGCGAGGAGGCAGTATGGGTAAATACGCCTGCAGGTGAGGCGAGGAGGCAGTATGGGTAAATAAGCCTGCAGGTGAGGCGAGGAGGCAGTATGGGTAAATAAGCCTGCAGGTGAGGCGAGGAGGCAGTATGGGTAAATAAGCCTGCAGGTGAGGCGAGGAGGCAGTATGGGTAAATAAGCCTGCAGGTGAGGCGAGGAGGCAGTATGGGTAAATAAGCCTGCAGGTGAGGCGAGGAGGCAGTATGGGTAAATAAGCCTGCAGGTGAGGCGAGGAGGCAGTATGGGTAAATAAGCCTGCAGGTGAGGCGAGGAGGCAGTATGGGTAAATAAGCCTGCAGGTGAGGCGAGGAGGCAGTATGGGTAAATAAGCCTGCAGGTGAGGCGAGGAGGCAGTATGGGTAAATAAGCCTGCAGGTGAGGCGAGGAGGCAGTATGGGTAAATAAGCCTGCAGGTGAGGCGAGGAGGCAGTATGGGTAAATAAGCCTGCAGGTGAGGCGAGGAGGCAGTATGGGTAAATAAGCCTGCAGGTGAGGCGAGGAGGCAGTATGGGTAAATAAGCCTGCAGGTGAGGCGAGGAGGCAGTATGGGTAAATAAGCCTGCAGGTGAGGCGAGGAGGCAGTATGGGTAAATAAGCCTGCAGGTGAGGCGAGGAGGCAGTATGGGTAAATAAGCCTGCAGGTGAGGCGAGGAGGCAGTATGGGTAAATAAGCCTGCAGGTGAGGCGAGGAGGCAGTATGGGTAAATAAGCCTGCAGGTGAGGCGAGGAGGCAGTATGGGTAAATAAGCCTGCAGGTGAGGCGAGGAGGCAGTATGGGTAAATAAGCCTGCAGGTGAGGCGAGGAGGCAGTATGGGTAAATAAGCCTGCAGGTGAGGCGAGGAGGCAGTATGGGTAAATAAGCCTGCAGGTGAGGCGAGGAGGCAGTATGGGTAAATAAGCCTGCAGGTGAGGCGAGGAGGCAGTATGGGTAAATAAGCCTGCAGGTGAGGCGAGGAGGCAGTATGGGTAAATAAGCCTGCAGGTGAGGCGAGGAGGCAGTATGGGTAAATAAGCCTGCAGGTGAGGCGAGGAGGCAGTATGGGTAAATAAGCCTGCAGGTGAGGCGAGGAGGCAGTATGGGTAAATAAGCCTGCAGGTGAGGCGAGGAGGCAGTATGGGTAAATAAGCCTGCAGGTGAGGCGAGGAGGCAGTATGGGTAAATAAGCCTGCAGGTGAGGCGAGGAGGCAGTATGGGTAAATAAGCCTGCAGGTGAGGCGAGGAGGCAGTATGGGTAAATAAGCCTGCAGGTGAGGCGAGGAGGCAGTATGGGTAAATAAGCCTGCAGGTGAGGCGAGGAGGCAGTATGGGTAAATAAGCCTGCAGGTGAGGCGAGGAGGCAGTATGGGTAAATAAGCCTGCAGGTGAGGCGAGGAGGCAGTATGGGTAAATAAGCCTGCAGGTGAGGCGAGGAGGCAGTATGGGTAAACAAGCCTGCAGGTGAGGCGAGGAGGCAGTATGGGTAAATAAGCCTGCAGGTGAGGCGAGGAGGCAGTATGGGTAAATAAGCCTGCAGGTGAGGCGAGGAGGCAGTATGGGTAAATAAGCCTGCAGGTGAGGCGAGGAGGCAGTATGGGTAAATAAGCCTGCAGGTGAGGCGAGGAGGCAGTATGGGTAAATAAGCCTGCAGGTGAGGCGAGGAGGCAGTATGGGTAAATAAGCCTGCAGGTGAGGCGAGGAGGCAGTATGGGTAAATAAGCCTGCAGGTGAGGCGAGGAGGCAGTATGGGTAAATAAGCCTGCAGGTGAGGCGAGGAGGCAGTATGGGTAAATAAGCCTGCAGGTGAGGCGAGGAGGCAGTATGGGTAAATAAGCCTGCAGGTGAGGCGAGGAGGCAGTATGGGTAAATAAGCCTGCAGGTGAGGCGAGGAGGCAGTATGGGTAAATAAGCCTGCAGGTGAGGCGAGGAGGCAGTATGGGTAAATAAGCCTGCAGGTGAGGCGAGGAGGCAGTATGGGTAAACAAGCCTGCAGGTGAGGCGAGGAGGCAGTATGGGTAAACAAGCCTGCAGGTGAGGCGAGGAGGCAGTATGGGTAAACAAGCCTGCAGGTGAGGCGAGGAGGCAGTATGGGTAAATAAGCCTGCAGGTGAGGCGAGGAGGCAGTATGGGTAAATAAGCCTGCAGGTGAGGCGAGGAGGCAGTATGGGTAAATAAGCCTGCAGGTGAGGCGAGGAGGCAGTATGGGTAAATAAGCCTGCAGGTGAGGCGAGGAGGCAGTATGGGTAAATAAGCCTGCAGGTGAGGCGAGGAGGCAGTATGGGTAAATAAGCCTGCAGGTGAGGCGAGGAGGCAGTATGGGTAAATAAGCCTGCAGGTGAGGCGAGGAGGCAGTATGGGTAAATAAGCCTGCAGGTGAGTGATAGAGAGCCCCTGAGGCTGGGGAGTGGAACCCTCTTTCCCTACGTGCTACCCGGTCCTGTCGTGCCTTCTCCCAAGCTAAGTTGGTCATTTACGCCATTTCTCCCAAGCACATCGAGCCGTTTCTTGACGACCTGCTGGGTCGCAAGTACGCTGCGCACTGCAGGTGAGGCGAGAAGGCAGTATGAGTTAATATGCCTGCAGGTGAGGCGAGGAGGCAGTATGGGTAATTAAGCTTGCAGGTGAGGCGAGGAGGGAGGCGAGGATGTAGTGTAGGTTAGACATGGAGCCCCTGAGGCTGGAGAGCGGCACCCTCTTCCCCTACGTGCTGCCGGGCCCTGTGGTGGCTTCTCCAAAGCACGTTGAGCCGTGTCCTGAAGACTTGTTGGGCCGCAAGTATGAGGCGCACTGTAGGTGAGGGAAGGAGGCAGTGCAGGTGCTGCCGCACATACATCCTCCTAAGCTTCAGTTGAGAGATTCACATCAAGGCTGTCTGACTCACATGAAATGGCGCATGCACATATGTGTCCCCCTCCTCCACATGATGCAGCTTCTTCACATGCCCTCTGTCTTCCTCACATGAATGTCCGCGTGTAGGTTTGAGGGCCCCTACCCCAGGTGGGACCTGGTTGTTGCTCCCATGCTGCTAGGCCTGCTGGTGCTGGTGGTAGCCGTGCTGCTGTCTCTCGTGATTGCCGTGCTGGCATGGAAGAGGCGGCAGATGGCGGAGGGGGTGAGAGAGATGCAGCTGTGTACGGCGGCGCTGGAGAGGGCCGAGAAGTCCAAGAGTGAGACGGTGGCCAACACGTCTCATGAGCTGCGCACGCCACTCATCGGCGTGATAGGTGAGAGCTGCGGACACCACGCATTAGCGTGATAATGATATTGGTGATGTGGTAATTGTAATGGTGATGTGGTAATTGTAATGGTGATGTGGTAATTGTAATGGTGATGTGGTAATGATAATGGTGATGTGGTAATCGTAATGGTGATGTGGTAATGATAATTGTGATGTGGTAATGGTAATGTGGTAATGGTAATGGTGATGTGGTAATGGAAATGGTGATGTGATAATGGTAATGTGATAATGGTAATGATGATGTAGTAATGGTAATGGTGATGTGGTAATGGTAATGGTGATCTGGTAATGGTAATGGTGATGTAGTAATGATAATGGTGATGTGGTAATGGTAATGATGATGTGGTAATGGTAATGGTGATGTCGTAATTGTAATTGTGATGTGGTAATGGTAATTGCGATGTGGTAATGGTAATGGTGATGTGGTAATGGTAATGATGATGTGGTAATGGTAATGATGATGTCGTAATGGTAATGATGATGTGGTAATGGTAAATGGGATGTGGTAATAGTAATTGTGATGCGGTAATGGTAATGTGGTAATGGTAATGGTGATGTGGTAATGGTAATGATGATGTGGTAATGGTAATGATGATGTGGTAATGGTAAGATGATGTGGTAATGGTAAATGGGATGTGGTAATAGTAATTGTGATGTGGTAATGGTAATGGTGATGTGGTAATGGTAATGATCATGTGGTAATGGTAATGATGATGTGGTAATGGTAATGATGATGTGGTAATGGTAATGATGATGTGGTAATGGTAATGATGATGTGGTAATGGTAAATGGGATGTGGTAATAGTAATTGTGATGCGGTAATGGTAATGTGGTAATGGTAATGTGGTAATGGTAATGGTGATGTGGTAATGTTAATGATGATGTGGTAATGGTAATGGTGATGTGATTATCGTAATGGTGATGTGGTAATGGTAATGGTGATGTGGTAATTGTAATGTGGTTATGGTAATACTAAGTTGGAGTATACGCTCAAGTCAGTTTGCGTATTGAGTTTATACGCTTCGAAAAAACGTACGCTGCGTTTTTTTGTGTAAATACGCCGAAAAACGCTTGGGCAGACTGGAAAAAAAAAACCCGAAGTTGGGTTTGAGCTCGCGACATGGCGAACTAAAATTAGGGCATCGCACATTCGGGATCTCAACTTTGAAATTTTATCTCGAAGCAGATCCACAACAACCCCTTCTGTATACCATTGCGCAACCCACTCCACCCCATTCAATCCCAATTCATTCCACTCAATGTCGAGTGGAGGAGTTAGATTCAACCAGACTCACCTCTCCTAGCAGAAATGCGGCTCATCCCTCCCAAGAAGCGTTCAGCGTTTATACGCTAGTGGATAAACGCTAGCGTATGAAACGTGAAACGCGTATACTCCAACTAGGGATGAGCAAGGGGCGAACACGAACATGTTCGTGTTCGCCCCTAGATGAACACATCCGTTTGCCGAACCGAACAGTGTTCGGTTCGGCGAACACTTTAAGCAAAAACACGTGTTCGCCGTTCGCCTGTGAAGGCATGTTCGGGCGAACATCGAACACGTTCGTGTTCGTCGCGGGGCAAATTACAGCAGCGGCCCGAACACGAACGTGTTCGGGCGAACATCGAACACTGTTCGGCGAACAATTTAAGCAAAAAAAAACAAACCTGTTCGGTTCGCCTCGAACGTGTTCGAGGCGAACCGAACAGATGTTCGCCCTTGTGCTCATGTCTAACTCCAACTAAGTGGTAATGGTAATGTGGTAATGGTAATGGTGATGTGTTTATAGTAATGGTGATGTGGTAATGGTAATGGTGATGCGGTAATGGTGATAGTGATGCGGTAATGATAATAATGATGCGGTAATGATAATAGTGATGCGGTAATGGTAATAGTGATGCGGTAATGGGGATGGTGATGGGGTAATGGTAATGGTGATGGGGTAATGGTGATGGGGTAATGGTAATGGTGATGGGGTAATGATAATGCTGATGGAGTAATGACAATGATGCAGCGTGAAGACCTAAGGGTGGCGAGGGCGTGTGCGGGTGAGACGGTGGAGCTTATTAACCGAGTGTTGGACCTCGCCAAGCTGCAGGCCCCCTTCTTCCCCCCCTCCACCTTCGCTCCCTTCCCCTCCCCTTCCCCTCCCACACAGGCTTGATAGAAGAATTCCTGGAGTCAAGTTTGGAGGAGTGGCAGCGTGAAGACCTGCGGGTGGCGAGGGCGTGTGCGGGCGAGACAGTGGAGCTTATCAACCGAGTGCTGGACCTCGCCAAGCTGCAGGCCACCCCACTTCCCCTCCCTCCTCCTCCGTCCCACACAGGCATGATAGAGGAGCTGCTGGAGTCGCAACTGGAAGAGTGGCAACGTGAGGATCTAAGGATCGCGAGGGCGTGTGCGGGTGAGACGGTGGAGCTGATCAACCGCGTGCTGGACCTCGCCAAGTTGCAGGCAGGACGGCTGCAGCTCGAGACCCTCCCCTGCTGCCTGCGCCGCATTGTGCACGAGGCCACTTCAGCCACTTCAGCAGTTGATGAACCGATAGCACCGGGGAAGAATCTGCAAGGTATAAAAGTGTGCTGGACTGGACCTCGCCAAGCTGCAGGCCGGACGGCTGCAGCTCGAGACTCTCCGGTTTGATGCATCCCAATATTCCCTTCAGTTGGTGCAACGCTGTGGAGTGCGGTCCTGATTCGGGTGCATACTGACTGATGCGTGCTGTTGTGGCTGTGCTGCGGATGCCTTTTGAGTCGACTCAAAAGTCACGATCTGCTACGTATGAGCGGTTTGATGCATCCCAATTTTCCCTTCAGTTGGTGCAACACTGTGGAGTGTGGTCTGATGTGTGCTGTTGTGGCTGTTTTTGAGGCGCCTAAAAAAGGATCCTAATTCTCTGTAAAGTTGGTGGAACACAACACTGTGGATGGATGCGGTCCTGATTCGGGTGCATGCTGACTGATGTGTGCTGTTGTGGCTGTTTTTGAGGCGCCTAAAAAAGGATCCTAATTCTCTGTAAAGTTGGTGGAGCACAACACTGTGGATGGATGCGGTCCTGATTCGGGTGCATGCTGACTGATGCATGCTGTTGTGGCTGTTTTTGAGGCGCCTAAAAAAGGATCCTAATTCTCTGTAAAGTTGGTGGAGCACAACACTGTGGATGGATGCGGTCCTGATTCGGGTGCATGCTGACTGATGCATGCTGTTGTGGCTGTTTTTGAGGCGCCTAAAAAAGGATCCTAATTCTCTGTTAAGTTGGTGGAACACAACACTGTGGATGGATGCGGTCCTGATTCGGGTGCATGCTGACTGATGCATGCTGTTGTGGCTGTTTTTGAGGCGCCTAAAAAAGGATCCTAATTCTCTGTTAAGTTGGTGGAGCACAACACTGTGGATGGATGCGGTCCTGATTCGGGTGCATGCTGACTGATGCATGCTGTTGTGGCTGTTTTTGAGGCGCCTAAAAAAGGATCCTAATTCTCTGTAAAGTTGGTGGAGCACAACACTGTGGATGGATGCGGTCCTGATTCGGGTGCATGCTGACTGATGCATGCTGTTGTGGCTGTTTTTGAGGCGCCTAAAAAAGGATCCTAATTCTCTGTAAAGTTGGTGGAACACAACACTGTGGATGGATGCGGTCCTGATTCGGGTGCATACTGACTGATGCGTGCTGTTGTGGATGCTGTGCTGCGGATGCTGTGTGCTGTAGTGACATGCCACGTGGAGAAGAGTGTGCCGGATGTGCGCATGGGGAATTCTTCTGAGGCGGCTCAATATTCCTCTTGTGGTTGTGCTGTGGCTGTGTTGTGGTTGCTGTGCGTGCGTGGCAGTGACATGCCACGTGGAGGAGAGTGTGCCGGATGTGCTCATGGGGGATCCGACTCGCCTGGCGCAAGTCGTTGAGGAGCTCACAGGTGCGTGCCTGCCGGTTTGCTGGCGAGTCTTGTTGTGGCTGTGCTGGGCTTGCTGTGCTGTGCTTGCTGTGCTGTGCTTGCTGTGCTGTGCTTGCTGTGCTGTGCTTGCTGTGCTGTGCTTGCTGTGCTGTGCTTGCTGTGCTGTGCTTGCTGTGCTGTGCTGTGCTTGCTGTGCTGTGCTGTGCTTGCTGTGCTGTGCTTGCTGTGCTGTGCTTGCTGTGCTGTGCTGTGCTTGCTGTGCTGTGTGTGGACTGCAGTAACATGCCAAGTGGTGTGCCGGCTGTCCTTATGGGGGATTCTACTCGCCTGGCGCAAGTCTTCCTAATTGTCCACACTCACATCGCATGTGCCTAGTTGTCATTGACTCACCTGTCGCAAGTCATTCAAGAGCTCACAGGTGCGTACCGGTGCCTCATGTGAGACGTCTCTTCCTATTTGTCCACACTCGCATCGCATGTGCCTAGTTGTCATTGACTCGTTCTGAGTCGACTCATAAGTACACTCGCATGTGCCTAGTTGTCAATGACTCGCCTGGTTGCATCGGCTGCATCCCTCCCCCGCCTCGTTTTGAGTCGACTTAATAATTGTTGTATTTTTCTTTCCCCTTGAACTGAACGCCCTCCGCGTATGCAGCCCACGCCACGCACAAGGCTGCTGGTGGCTGTGTGGCCTTCCAGGACAGCCGCATCCCTCCCCCACTTCTTTTTGAGTCGACTAAAAAACCGTGTCTGTCTGGCTGTCCCCTTGAACTGAACTGCATCTGTCCCCCACTTCTTTTTGAGTCGACTCAGAAATCGTGTCTGTCTGTCCTGTTGTCCCCTTGCCCCCACCTCTCCCCTGCAGCCCACGCCATGAGCAACGTTGCTGGTGGTCAAGTGGCCTTCCACGTCTGCTGCATCCCTCCCCCGCCTCTCCCACATGCCTCAACAAGCCGATTCCATCTCCCCTGCGCATCTGCTAGTGCCGCCGTTTCCCCTGCCTCACCACCTCCTCACGCTTCCTCCTCACACCACCTCCCTTCGGGCTCCCCCGCGTGGCACCAGCTGTCTGCTTGTGTGCGCCGCTTCCCACCTTCCACCCATCTGGCACGCCTCCCACAGCGCCACGTTGCAAGAGGCAACAGGGGGGGGGCAGGGCAGGCAGGGGGTACTTCTGAGCTGCCTCACGAGTCGCCCCTCACCCACCTCTCGCGTTTTCTCCAGCGCATGGGGGCTTCAGGCACAGGGGGTTCAAAGAAAGCAAGTGTGGGGGAGGAGAGTGAGGAGGCACAGGGTGGGAGTGGGCATGGGCGGTTGGAGGAGGAGGTGAGGGAGTGGGTGGAGGGAGTGTGTGCGGCAAGAGAGGAGGGCGAGTGGATGGTGGTGATGGCGTGTGAAGACTCGGGCGGTGGTATACTACCCGAGGAGCTGCGGTGGGTGCTGGACCCATATGGGGACTCCCACCACGCCGCTGCAGCACACCCTTCTCGTGCCAGTGTTGCGGGTTCAGCCGGCGGTGATGGCAACGACAACGACGGCGATGACACCAAGGTAAGTGGATGGATAGCTTTGCTCTTCACTTCTCTGCCTGCTGCCCTGCCACGGTGCGTCGAGCATCCCTATAACAACTGCCTCACCAGAGTGCTCAATCCCTCCTATCCTTGTCTGTGCTTCCCCTTCACTGTGCTCGTCCACACCCCACCATCCACCAGGATACTTTCTTCCCCCACCTCTTCAGTCGCCGGGGCAGCAGGGCAGCAGCAACTGCCGCTCTCACGCACGACCAGAGGTCGGCTGCTCGCCCCCGCTGGACGCCCTACCCCGTCCGCTTCCTGCTCTCCACCGCGCTTGTGAGTGCCATCCTCCCCCGGGGACTGTTGATTGACTCAAAGGGCAGCAGCCACAGCCCCTCTCATGCACGACCAGAGGTCCGCTTTTCTCCCCCGCTGGACGCCCTACCCCGTCCGCTTCCTGCTCTCCACTGCTCTTGTGAGTATCATCCTCCCCGTATCATCCTCCCCGTATCATCCTCCCCGTATCATCCTCCCTGTATCATCCTCCCCCGGGCTTGGCAGTATCGCACCCACAACCCCTCACATTGCACCTGTCGTGTCGCTATCCCATCTCTTCTGACTTGTTTTTGAGTCGACTCAAAAGTGTCGCTATCGAGTTGACTTTTGAGTCGACTCAAAAGTCAACTGGGGCTCCATTGGACTTTCAAAAGTGTCGCTATCGAGTTGACTTTTGAGTCGACTCAAAAGTCAACTGGGGCTCCATTGGACTTTCAAAAGTGTCGCTATCCCATCTCTTCTTACTTGCCAAGCCACTCCCCCTTTCTCCCCGAGAAGGGGGCTGAGATTAGGGGAGACATGGCAGTGCTGCCACATGCCTCTACTGCTACCACCATTCTAACCTTGTCTCTCCCCACCCCTTCTGCGCCCCTCCTTCTCACTTCCCTTTTTTCACCCCAACAGGTGGCGGAGATGCGGGGAGACATGGCAGTGCTGCCACATGCCTCTACTGCTACCACCATTCTAACCTTGTCTCTCCCCACCCCTTCTGCGCCCCTCCTTCTCACTTCCCTTTTTTCACCCCAACAGGTGGCGGAGATGCGGGGAGACATGGCAGTGCTGTCAGGCGCATCTACAGGCACCACCATTCTCACCTTGTCTCTCCACTGCTTCCCTACTTCCCAATACCCCCCCTCTCTTCCCCCCGAGTAGGTGGCTGAGATGCGGGGAGACATGGCAGTGCTGTCACACGCCGCCACAGGCACCACCATTCTGCTGGCTCTGCCCATGGGGGGAGGGGAGGACAGCGGCAGCTTCGCCGATTGGGGGGAAGATGAGGAGAGTGGTGGTGAAAGGGATGGGTGCGGGTCAGGGAGTGACGGGGAGAGTGTGGAATTTGCGAGTGTTGCAATGCAGGCACCTGGGCAGGAGCAGGCAAGCCTGCAGGAGCATCCACCTGGGCAGCAGCAGCAGCAGCAGCAGCAGCAGCAGCAGCAGCAGCAGCAGCAGCAGCAGCAGCAGCAGCAGCAGCAGCAGCAGCAGCAGCAGCAGCAGCAGCAGCAGCAGCAGCAGCAGCAGCAGCAGCAGCAGCAGCAGCAGCAGCAGCAGCAGCAGCAGCAGCAGCAGCAGCAGCAGCAGCAGCAGCAGCAGCAGCAGCAGCAGCAGCAGCAGCAGCAGCAGCAGCAGCAGCAGCAGCAGCAGCAGCAGCAGCAGCAGCAGCAGCAGCAGCAGCAGCAGCAGCAGCAGCAAGCATCTGGGCAGCAGCAGCAGCAGCAGCAGCAAGCATCTGTGGAGCAGCAGCAGCAGCAGGCACCTCTGCAGCAGCGGGCAGCACGAGCGCACTCTCACTCTCACCTCGAGCCGCGAGCTGGCATAGTCGAATCCTTGGAGCGTGCAGTAGAGGCGGACAGGGTATTGCCAGCAGAGGAAAAGTCAGTGGCAGTGGTGGGAAGGGCAGGGCAGCAGGCAGCACGGTCGCATTCGCTCCCGAAACCTGGGCAGCAGCAGGCAAGCCTGCAGCAGCATCCATTTGGGCCGCAGCAGGAGCCTCTGCAGCAGCGGGCAGCACGAGCCCACTCTCGCAGGGCGGGGCCGTGGACAGCACAGTCGCACTCGCTCCTGAAACCCCACTCCCAGACGCGAGCTGGCATATTCAAATCCTTGGAGCGTGCAGGAGAGGCGGACAGGGTGTTGCCAGCAGTGGCGGCAGCGGCACCAGAGGAGGGGGTGTTTCCAGCACGGTCGCACTCGCTCCCGAAACCCCTCTCCCACACGGACGGCATGGGAGACACGGAGGGGGGGCAGGCTCGTGCAGTGGCGGCATGTCAAACTGTATCAGGCCGGAGAATAACACGGGCGCAATCGCTCCAACAGCTGCACGCGCACGGGGAGCGTGCAGCAGGGGAGGCGGAGGCGCTGGTGCGAGCGGCGGTGGCGGGGCGGGGGGTGGCGGTGGTGGATGACAACGCGGTGAACCGCATGGTGGCCCGCAGAACGCTGCAGGGCTACGGGGCGCACGTGCTGCTGCTTCCCTCTGGGGAGGAGGCGCTGCAGGCGCTCTCGAATGCAACGCCCTCTGCACCGCCCATCCAGCTGCTGCTGCTTGATCTCCACATGCCGCCTGGCATCGACGGGTGAGTGCCTTGCTCGTTCGTTCCTTCTAACCCCTCCTTCGTGCTGCTGCTGTGCTTCGGGGAGGAGGCGCTGCAGGCGCTCTCCAATGCTACAACCTCCTCCTCGCCCATCCAGCTGTTGCTGCTTGATCTCCACATGCCGCCGGGCATCGAATCGACGGGTGAGCTTGGATCCCATTGCTCGATCCTTTTGAGGCGCCTCAAAAGCTTGGATCCCATTGCTCGATCCTTTTGAGGCGCCTCAAAAGCTTGGATCCCATTGCTCGATCCTTTTGAGGCGCCTCAAAGCTTGGATCCCATTGCTCGATCCTTTTGAGGCGCCTCAAAAGCTTGGATCCCATTGCTCGATCCTTTTGAGGCGCCTCAAAAGCTTGGATCCCATTGCTCGATCCTTTTGAGGCGCCTCAAAAGCTTGGATCCCATTGCTCGATCCTTTTGAGGCGCCTCAAAAGCTTGGATCCCATTGCTCGATCCTTTTGAGGCGCCTCAAAAGCTTGGATCCCATTGCTCGATCCTTTTGAGGCGCCTCAAAAGCTTGGATCCCATTGCTCGATCCTTTTGAGGCGCCTCAAAAGCTTGGATCCCATTGCTCGATCCTTTTGAGGCGCCTCAAAAGCTTGGATCCCATTGCTCGATCCTTTTGAGGCGCCTCAAAAGCTTGGATCCCATTGCTCGATCCTCTTGAGGCGCCTCAAAAGCTTGGATCCCATTGCTCGATCCTTTTGAGGCGCCTCAAAAGCTTGGATCCCATTGCTCGATCCTTTTGAGGCGCCTCAAAAGCTTGGATCCCATTGCTCGATCCTTTTGAGGCGCCTCAAAAGCTTGGATCCCATTGCTCGATCCTTTTGAGGCGCCTCAAAAGCTTGGATCCCATTGCTCGATCCTTTTGAGGCGCCTCAAAAGCTTGGATCCCATTGCTCGATCCTTTTGAGGCGCCTCAAAAGCTTGGATCCCATTGCTCGATCCTTTTGAGGCGCCTCAAAAGCTTGGATCCCATTGCTCGATCCTTTTGAGGCGCCTCAAAAGCTTGGATCCCATTGCTCGATCCTTTTGAGGCGCCTCAAAAGCTTGGATCCCATTGCTCGATCCTTTTGAGGCGCCTCAAAAGCTTGGATCCCATTGCTCGATCCTTTTGAGGCGCCTCAAAAGCTTGGATCCCATTGCTCGATCCTTTTGAGGCGCCTCAAAAGCTTGGATCCCATTGCTCGATCCTTTTGCGGTTGCTGCTCAAGTGCGATTGTGACTGTTACCTGCCTTTCATACGTCATATTGATTTGGACTCTCCTTACTTGGAATGTGGTTGAAGGAGTTTCTTCATTGGAGTTTGCAACTCCAGTGATCCTCATTATTGAGGGTGGCAGTCGCAAATGAATTTCAATGTTCCTTCTTTCCTTGGGTGCCCTCAGCGGTCTTTCCTTTGGAACTGCAATCCAGCAATTCCTTGGCTGCCTTGTTCACATCCCTTTCTTGCCACCGGTTGCCTCCCATTTCCCCACAGATTCGAAACGGCTCGTCAGATCCGAGCAATGGAGAGCGCACAGTGTAGCAGCAGCAAGGCAGCACACCAGATGCCAGAGGGAGACAATGCTGCCACTGATGCAGCAGCAGCAGCAACAGCAGCAGCCGAAACAGCAGCAGCGGCAGCAGCAAGTGCAATTGATGCAACCACAGCAGTACCACAAGAAGAGCGCCTTTGCATCATAGCATTAACAGCTGATTTGGATGCGGGAGTGAAGCGAGCGTGCTTGGAGGCCGGGATGGATGGGGCAGTGAGGAAGCCGATTGTGGCACAGGAACTGCTAGGGGCACTCATTACAGCAGGGTTTGGAGCTGGCGTGTGCTGATTCTGGTTTGACTCAACGGTCACCACCACATGAGTGCCTTTCTTGCATGGCACTGGCTGCTGACTTGGATGTGGGAGTGCAGCAAGCATGCTTAGAGGCAGGGATGGACGGGGCGATGAGTGGGTGCTGTTGGGAGAGCAGTGGAGTGGGCCTTTGCTGGGGGTGTTTGTCTGGTATGACAATCAGGTGGTGCTGTTTGTGTCACTTAGTGAGTGCTCGAAAGTGACACAACCAGGACCCTTGCCGGGAGTGTTTTCGTTCTGGTATGACAGCAACGACCTGGTTACCACATGAGGAGGAAACTTGCTTCCTATGAGTGTGATAAGGGAAAGGAATGTGTGGGTTGCTGGCTTGCCTTGTTTGCTGGGGACTGGTTGCTGGCTTGCAGTGTTTGCTGGGGACTGGTCGCTTCCTTGCTGTGTGCTCTGGGGATTGGGTTGCTAGCGTGCTGTGTGCTCTGGGGATTGGGTTGCTGGCGTGCTGTGTGCTCTGGGGATTGGGTTGCTGGCGTGCTGTGTGCTCTGGGGATTGGGGTTGCTGGCGTGCTGTGTGCTCTGGGGATTGGGTTGCTGGCGTGCTGTGTGCTCTGGGGGTTGGGTTGCTGGCGTGCTGTGTGCTCTGGGGATTGGGTTGCTGGCGTGCTGTGTGCTCTGGGGATTGGGTTGCTGGCGTGCTGTGTGCTCTGGGGATTGGGTTGCTGGCGTGCTGTGTGCTCTGGGGATTGGGTTGCTAGCGTGCTGTGTGCTCTGGGGATTGGGTTGCTGGCGTGCTGTGTGCTCTGGGGATTGGGTTGCTGGCGTGCTGTGTGCTCTGGGGATTGGGTTGCTGGCGTGCTGTGTGCTCTGGGGGTTGGGTTGCTGGCGTGCTGTGTGCTCTGGGGATTGAGTTGCTGGTTTGCCATGAGTGGCTGGTTGGATCACGGGTTTGCTTTGGGTGTGATGAGTGGAAGGAAGATGGGCTTTGCTTGGTTTCTTGTTGCTTGCTGGTCTATTGGGTGTTTTGCTAGTTGGATTCTCCTCACATTCGATTGGCATGCAGGCATGTGTTGGCTGGCCTTGGTGCAAGGCCATAGAATGCTGTCATTTACAGATGCAGGATGGAATGGGTTCCTGCTTGGCGTTTGGTGACATTGGAAAGCAGCACAAAGCACTGCTGGCCCTACCGGTATTTCATGTAGCAATAGTTTCACTAGGTGTACTGTCCATTCTGTGCAGCTTTCAGTGCCTTCATGTCAATCATGTAGTGAAATATGTCAGGGAATCCACACTTTGCAAGTTGCGTGATGTGTGGAGAATAGACGTGTAGGGTAAGCCTACTTGTATTAAAGCTAATTCACCTATTGGATAGCATATTGTGTTGGAAACAAGTAATTTAAACGCTTCTGTCGTATCGAAGTGTCGACACGAAACGGAGCTGACTTCAACGAAGAAACACACGAGTCAACCAAAACAACCGCTGGAGGTTACGCGAAGGTCAAAGGTCGCTGACCTTTGACTTGATGAACAGTACAGTGCGACAGCAAGGACACATAACTGACTCGTTACTGAGCAGTTACCCGAGTCGGCACTGCATCGAACCGCAACAGCAAAAACAGTTAAAGTAGAACTTTTCATATTCCTTTGTAATCATATAAAAAGCTTGTAGTATCTCTTTGCTATTATCAACTTATCTTGTTCTCACACACCAATACAAGGTGGTTCAAGCAACTTTTATATTAACGCTTCCGCAATTACAACATCTCTACTTCAACACTTGATCTTAGCCTTGAAAGATCCTAAGGGCTTTTCTCAGCCCAACATGGTAGAGCAGGCAGGGCAAGATCATTTTCTTAAATATCTACAACGCAAGACATAGCAACACAAAAGGAGAGGAGCTCCTTCAACGGATCTCTCGGAACTACCCCTACTCCACCTCCAGCCTCTGGCCTACAGACAGAAGAAGGCACAGCAACAAGACCAGCTGCAGAGTCAACGGAAACTCCAGGGAATCAACCAGCAGGCTTCGACTCCTTCATGTCCTTCTACGAGCAACACCAGCAAGCAGCTCCTGCGCAATCAAACAACAGCGACAACAACAACAGAGCAACTCCGATGAGCCTCGACGGTTCATCCTATGCGCGTGGAAATCAACAACAACCCACCTTTGCCCCGTATGAGCCTCAACGCGGCTCCATCAGTTTCGCACCGCAGCCGCAGTCTTCACCTGGACAAGAGAAGACACTGGACGCGCTTCAGGTGCAATAGCAATTTGCACATGTTCTAAAATTGCAAACGTCAACGCTCTTCGACGGGAAGGATTTTTATACCTGGTCATTCGAATTTGAGCTGATGATGGAGGGCGCGCAAATTCTCGGATTCTTCGACGGGTCCCTGCCATATCCAGCACACGGGACACAGTACGACAAGCAGCAGTATACGTATCAGTCGCTGATGGCGTACACGATACTTCTTCGAAATTTAACGCCAAACGAGCAGCAGAACATTCGGTCTTATCGAAGATACGGCAACTCCGCCGAGCTGGCGTACGACCACCTGAAGAGCCTGTATCAAGCGACAGACAGTGTTAACCAGAGTCGTCTCATGGCACAGTTGACAACAGTGGAAATGAAACCCGGCGAAAAGGGAATGGCTTATATTAGCCGTGGTCGCGGACTGCGCGACAGACTCCTTCGATGCGGAGGATCAATATCTGAAGAAGCTTTTGTAACAGTCATCATCGCCGGCCTTGGTCCTCATTGGCGCTCCACTCGAGCACTCCTTCGAGCTCACGGGGAGATCTCCGAAGCAGCACTCTGCGCCGAAATTCACGCTGAACAGCAAGATATGGACCTGCATGAAGAACGACACAAGAAGAAAGCGTTAGCACCAGAATTCGCCTTTCACACTCAACGACGCTACAACAACAACAACCGACACAACAACCGAGAAGTAGAACAGTACGTCCCACCGTTCTGTCATCTTTGCAAGACGTCCGGACATCCGCGCACACACTGCCCGAATCAGCAGTAGACAACAACACCGCAACGTCAACTTCGGTCTTCAAGCATGTTATAGTCTAGAGTCCACTTAGGGGTCGTAGATGCCCTTGAAACCACCTAAGCAGAATCTGATGACTTCGAACCGCCTCTGTTCAAAACGCCGTCACGATCAGCTCCGATAACAAACGAGGCTGAAACTTGGACTGACGTTAGCTTCAGGTGTCTGCTTTCCAACGGTATATGGCTTTCATCAGAGGTGTATGCGCTACGCACTGAACAAAAACGTAAGCTCGACTGAAAAACGAGTAGCTTCATTGATGCAAGGAAGAGGTTGAGTGCAACATTGCCTAGGGGACTCTTAAGGGGTTGGGACCATCCTGGGAACTCAGAGAAGGTTGAGTCCTAGGGGAGAAAGGCTAGAGAAGGATGGGAAACGTCCTAGCTAGGTCAGCAAAGCCAACCACACTTGGATGTTCAGAGCTGTACTCAAGGCTACCAATAGTGAGTCAAGCCAACCATGAGTCAGCTTGTCTTCCCACTTGCACCCTCTTGCAAGCTGCTTCCAGGAAGACCACACTTCTCAAAAGGAGGGTGGTAGAGTCCCACTTGACCACCTGTACTTCTTGTCTCATTCTCTGTCCCTGCACCATTGGCATGACAACAATGAAAGGGTGGCAAGGGAAATGCTGCCAACAGTGCACCATGACTACGGAACAATAACTTTCGACAGCTGTCACGTGCTGCTCCGATTCTGGGCTGTCCTGAAACTCGGTGACCACCTGCACAACATGGCAAAGGACTGCCACACCGATTTTCAGACCAATCAGAGCTCGGTAGATGAGTCACCAGCCGAAATGGTGAACTCGGGTGTTACCAAAAAAGAGTAACACACACTTCCGGGATGCCATAAGTCTTGAAACTAAAAATGTTGCCATGCCTTGTAAACTGCTTCAAAAATTCTGAAACTTTGAGGGTATGAAGAACACATATTGAAGCACCTCCCCACAAAATTCCAGAAGCTGAGCAGGCTTGTAGGCTGAATGGGAGTGCGATGACCGTGCCACTATAGTACTTTGGCACAACAAACTCCCCCTCATCGTGCTCTCATTCATCCCTTAGCTGCTCCCTGAAGCTGCCTCCCTTAGTTGAAGGACATGCCACACAAGGTGGCACAGCTCCAATGCTGATGCTCTGCAAGCCGCTTAGTCAAGAAATCCGCAGGTTGCTTGGTAGTGTTGATGTAGTGCAAGGAGATGGTGCCCTTCTTCACCTCCTTCCTCACCCAATGCCACTTGATATGCATGTGCTTGTTCAGCCCATGGAGCACAGCATTACGCGCCATTGCAATTGCTCCTTGGCTGTCACAAAACACAGGTGTAGGACCCTCTTGCTCCTGCCCCAACTCCTCAAGCAACCTCCTCATCCAAACCACCTCCTTCACTCCATGAAACAACGCCATGTACTCGCTCTCCGTTGATGAGTGAGCTATCTCTCCTTGCTTCTTAGACTTCCAACTCACTGGACTCCCTCCAACACAGCATATATAGCCACCATGGGATGTAGCATCACTGATGTCACTTGCCCAGGTAGCATCGGTGAAACACGAGAGGTACAAATGCCCACGCCTTGCAGGTGCACCAGTCTTTGTGCTCACCTCCTCCACTCCCTTTTGCTTCAGCTGCCCATGCACTGAATATTGCAGCCCCACCCTTGAGGTTGCCATGCAGTACCTCACCAGCCTCTCTGATGCATCCAGGTGCTCTTGAAGGGGCCTAGACACCACACGAGCGAGCTGTGAAACTGAAAACGCAATGTCGGGGCGAGTGTTGACCGAAGCGTACATCAAGCTCCCCACCATTGACTGGAACCGACGCTGCAACTCGTACTCCAACACCTCACCCTCCTCTTCATTAAGGTGCAGCTGAAACCCTGAGGGTAAAGGAGTCTTCACACTCCTCCCTTCCTCCAGCCCATACTTCTCCCCCATGGCTGCAAGGTACTTGTGTTGGTGAAGCCTCAACCATCCCTTCACCTCGTCCCGCTCCACGTGAAGACCAAGGTAATACCCCACTGGTCCAAGGGCCTTGCATTGAAAGGTCTCCTTCAGCTTCCCTTGCACCTCCTTGATCCTCTCTAGGGATGGAGAGAAGAGGAGGATGTCATCGACATAGACAAGGAGAATTACCTTCTCCTCCTCTCCCTCGGTCATGAAGAGACTCTCGTCGCAGCCGCTAACTTTGAAGCCAAGAGCCTCCAACACCTCCACCAGCCTTGCATACCAGCACCTTGGAGCTTGTTTGAGGCCATAGATGGCCTTGTTGAGCCTGCAAACACGTCCGCTCCCATCATCATACCCCTCTGGCTGCTTCATGTAGATCTCCTCATCTACCACGCCATAGAGGAACGCCGTCTTCACATCCATTTGCTCCACCTTCCAGCCACAAACGGCAGCGGCTGCTAGCAACAACCGGAGCGTAGGAGCCGTGGCAACAGGAGCAAATACTTCTTGAAAGTCAATTCCCTCCCTCTGCTGAAAGCCTTTGATCACAAGCCTTGTCTTGCGCCTCTCCAACCTCCCCTCCGCATCGGTCTTTACACGTAACACCCACGTGCAGTCCAATGCCTTCCTTCCTAGGGGAAGATTGGTAAGGGTCCATGTTTCATTCTCCATGTGGCTCTGGAACTCATCCTCCCTTGAAGCCAGCCACGCCTCTCGATCATCTCCAGCGAGAGCTTCCTCCATTGACGCCGGCTCATGAGGTAAGTTGACGCCAAAGCAACAAATCTGCTCCATCTCCCCCTCGGCTCCCTTCTCCTCCTCATATTCCTCCTCTTGGACCAGCAATGCCTTGGGAACCCCAAGCCTTTCATACTTGAGGAAATCCATTGGGTGGGCAGCTCTCTTGGG